CTGGGATATTAAGACCCAATAATTTTTATATCCTAAGTATCTCATCCCAGCCAACTAGTCTGCTACTCATTTTCTTTCATCTCCTCGAGCAGAACAATGGCTTCATCAGTTCTAGCAACCCTTAACAAGAAGTTAATTTAAGTGGTTTAGATAACAATATCAAGTTTCAGACCGGCACTTTTCTTGGCTTCCTTCAGTCTTCCCTCCTTGCAGAACCCATTTGTTGTCGCCGGGTAATTGATTACGTTAGGATTACATCCATTTTTCTTCATGAATTCGACTACGTCCCAAGCTTTGTCAGTTTTCCCTTCACAGGAAAACCCATTCATTAATTGTAAGTAGAGTCATCGAACACTCTTTGATGTTTTGTGAGCATTTCCTCAAAACAGATGATTCCTGATCAAGTTAGGAAAAGAAACCTTAGACTTTTCTATGTATTTCATCACTTTAAATGCAGATGCTAGATTTCCCTTTTTCCAGACTTACAGTGATGTTTAACCAAAATGTTAAAGATGCATGTATTTGATTCAAAATGGAAGTCTTTCCGAGCAGTCAATAACAAAGTTCTCGCCAAATCAATTTGATTCGCATCAACTAGAATAGTAAGACGTCGTGACTGCTTTGAGGGATGTGACTTCTCACGAACAATTGGCTGAATTGCATAGAACATTTCAAGCCCTGGACAAAATTATATCCTAATCTGCTTACAAAATTTGCTCAAGAAGAATTTATCCACTTCTGAGTTCATAGATTAGTTAGAAAAATTTAAATGAATATTGCATATTATAGGACAAATTAAAGTTTGTCTAAGGTTCTGAAAACTCAAAGTTCGACCTAGATTGAATTTCGCGCACTGAACAATATTCCTTGCTCCGCCCACGGTGTCGATCATATCAGCTAGTACCAGTTCAATCACCAACCAACAATTCCAATACTTCAATGACCAATCCTACTTCTTCATGGCAATCAAGAGATCATTATGCTGCTAATACTCCCAACACTCCTTCGTGCCTCTTCGATAGTGGTGCTTGAGCAATCTCTCACTGTATGCTCCCTACAATGGTTTCGATGACATTATGATTGGCGATGGCTTTGGCCTCACCATTACTCACACCGATTCCTCATCTCTCATAACCTCTCAACACACTTTTAAATTAAACAACGTTCTCTGTGTTCCTAGCTTGAAAAAGCACCTAATCTCCATCTCTCAATTTTGTACCTCCAGTAATATTGCAACTGAATTCTTGCCGTCTACTTTCTTGTGNCACTTTTAAATTAAACAACGTTCTTTGTGTTCCTAGCTTGAAAAAGAACCTAATCTCCATCTCTCAATTTTGTACCTCCAGTAATGTTGCAACTGATCGAATTCTTACCGTCTACTTTCTTGTGAAGGAACTTAGCTAGGGGATACCGCTTTTGCGGGGCCAATCTAAAGATGGAGTATATGAGTTGCCAGCAATCTCACCATTGCTTGCCTTTTCCAGCATGACTACTTCCCCATCGGGGTGAGATTAGGACATTCATCAATTTCAATTTAAAAGGCACATTGTTTCCAAGAATAAACTAATATTGTCTTCCTCTTTTTCATCTGATTTTCTCTTGTAATGCTTGTCGCTGTAATAGAAGTCACAAATTATCTTTTCCAAATCAGCACTTGTCTTTTCCAAATCACCACTTGAAACTATATTCACTAATGCTTGTCGCTTTCTTCTTTGAGAACACAAGTCAATTGACAAAGGGCAACGCGTACCCAACAAAGAAACTGACAATAATTTGTTTAGTACGTTAATACACTGGATTTAGGAATTTCTTGGAATTTTAAACTCAACCAAGATTCGATGATATCGTTAAGCCCTGTTTGAGATATTTTTTGGGAGTATTTTAAAATAATTATTTTTTAAAGAATGAATGATTAAAAAATAAGAAAGAAATTTGGATTTATATGTAAAATTATTGAATAATTATTCTATGACTAGACAGTGGAAGGATTACAATGTGAAATTATGATAAATCATAGGA